TTTTTTTACATCACAAAAACCTGGTATTTTAACAGGGGTGTGTAGACTTTTTATATCCACTGTAGGTCACTGACTACAAGCTTAACAAGTAATTAGTAATTGTAACTGATTACATTTACCTTCACAACCCTGCCCGGTTGATGTAGCATCTTTTGCATGTGCAAATACATTATTTTGAATGGAGATGTGCGACGAGCATGCTCAAAACTAAAAGCAATGCTTTCCATGGCGCACCAAGATGTAAACAGTACATAAACAGTATCTCAGTGAGGCTTACTGCTAAATTACTTCATCATCATTTTCATGCAGCCTTTTAACTACAGGCGCGACAGTAGCGCATCCTCCCGAACGCCTTGGATAAAAGATTGAAAGCAACGCAAATAACACATCAAAACAGCCTTTAAGACTCTTGTCAAACTTTTGTTGGTAAAACCAAACTGCAGGAATGTCACAATCAACAGGAATATATACCTAACTTCTTGATGATGTTGATGCACAGTGGGATTCTGTGGCGGGATAAATGCCAATTGGTTAATGACATTTTCACTGGGAGCAACAACTAGAAGCTAAAACAACGACATAAATGCCACACTGGATGTTCCATCGTCTAGTAGGTTATATTTATTATTATTATTATTATTATTTATATTTTATACACAGAGACAGCATGTTTCCTCTTGTGCGTATGTGCCTTGTGGCTTAGAACTTGTTTGATCAAACATACCGCACTGTAGATGAGTCGGCAAATAAGAAAATGCCAAATGAAGCCATTAAGTTCAATTGCACAATAAGCCTGGGTGGATAATTCACATCAGTGGGCAATGAACCAATATTTATTAGCAGAATGTCCACTCATGTGGAAGTGAAGCCTACCATCTACTGTACTGTGTGACAGCAGAAGAACGTGTGACTGTGTGCATGACTGAGTGCATGACTGAATAATATATACATACACATTGGTGCTTAATCTATGTGTGTGTACACGTATCCTCTCTGTTAACTATGCAAGATTTCCCAGAGGAGCAGCAAATGTAGGTCATCGCCAGTTGAGCACTTTAAAAATAAAGACTTTCCTAATACTGAAGAGCCGACACTGCAGTAAGCCCCCGTGGCATTCACTCTGGCATGTTCTCATCTGAATACCACGCATGAAGACAGGCTTTTTTTTTGGCTTTTACAAGATTATCTTTGTGAGATTTCTGCTTCATTGTTACAATGTACAACAGAGGGCAGAGTGCAGTTATGCACATAACTGCAACCTCAAGCGTTCTTCTCCTGTAAATGTGGGGAACTGCATGATGCTGCGAGTTCTGTCAGGGTTCCCACTCTTTTTAATAAATTATTTTCCAGGACATTTCCAGGACATTTTCCAGGAGTTTTCTTGACAATACAGGACAGCATTTGCAAACAGTCATATAATTTAGCGGATGACCTAGTACTGAAAAGTTCAAATATCAGTTTTCTTCATTACATACATTACTAGGTAAAGTAGTAAGAAACAAAATTTTTCCACTGGGCTTTCATGAGAATTCTTTTTGATCTGAGGCGTAGATCAGAGTGCAGGGCTGAAGTAAAGTGTGCTCATGTTATCGAATTCCCCCCCGAAGGGATCTCTGCAGTAAGCGGAGTTATCATGTAATCTACAAAACTGCAGTCCAGATTAAAATGAAGACAACAATAAAATGAGGTCTGAACTGATCCCTGTTAAACCGATGGCCTACATTGTTCCACGAGGAACCCTGATTGTCTTTTTCAACCAGGGATCCTCTTTTTTGTTGTTTTTACAGTACTTGATCACTGACTGCAGGGTCGGACCCACATAGGGGTTTGGTGAAATTAATTAGTTAACTCAACTATTATACACCTATAATTACCTTAGCCTGTGATTTTACGACCAACCCTCCCTTCCTTTCATCCATTAGTTTTCCTACCCCATCCCTCTCTCTGCTCATCCCTACCCACATCTTTTCATACTCTCTTCCCTCCGTTCACTCTAGTGCATACCTCTCCCATGTCTCTTTCTATATACCGCACGCATGAGCCGAAAACACCCACAATAACTCACTCCGCCTGGTCTTCAGTACTTCCTCCTAGACTGGCCTAAGGCGACATCTACATTCACCCCTCCCCTTTATAACCATATCAGTCATCAATGTCTGTGACAAAGTAGACTCATCTCTGTCATTTGTCACTTATTTATTTAGGTATTAGCTTGTTTAGTTACCATTTGTAACCTTTGTTTTATTCATTTTTTTTTTTTTGTTTTTTTTTTTTACATTAACCATAAATTAATTTCAGCTGATAACGCCACGTGCACACTACTATCCCGGGTCTGTTTTTGTGTTCAGCGTTTATTTCTTTATAATCTTCAACATCCATCAATCAAGGTTACAACAATAATGGC